ACCTGAACCCGGAGGAGTGCCTGCCCCAGTGCCAGCGGGACGCCTACCACACCACACAGCAGAAGAAGCTAACGGAGAGCCTGATCCTGGGCCTGTCCGCCGTGTGCTTTGTCCTCACGCTGTTCGCGCTGGTCACCTTCTGGGCGGAGCCGACGCGGTTCGGGTACCCGGAGCGCCCCGTGCTCTTCCTCTGTCTGTGCTACAACCTGTTCAGCGTGTGCTACCTGGAGCGGATCGTGTTCCACAACCAGGCGCGGAGTCTGGCCCAGCTTCAGGAGCCGCAGGGGCTGCGGCTGCGTCCCGCCTGCCAGCTGACGCCGCCCTGCCTGGCCTCGTACATCACCACCTCGTACCTGAGCCTGTGCGCCGCCAGCTGGTGGCTGATCTTCGCCCTCTGCTTCTACCTCTCGTCGCACAAGAAGTGGTCCAGCGAGGCGCTGGAGAAGCGTTCCGGCCTCTTCCATGTGCTGGCCTGGGTGCCGCCCCTGGTGCCGCCGATCGCGGCCCTGCTCCTGGAGCGTGTCCGACCCAGCGAGCTGACGGGCATGTGCTCGGCCCCCGGATTCGTGGAGCTGCCCGCCCTGGTGCTGCTCCTCCTGGGGCTGTACTTTACGCTGCGCGCCTCCCGCTCCCTGCACTCGCTGCAGCAGCAGCTCCAGCCCACGCTGGCTCACCACCGCTTCGGCCAGATCCGGAAGCGGTTCGTCATCTTCTCGCTGCTCTTCTTCGTCCCGACGGCGGCGGGCGTGGTGGCCGCCCTCTGCGAGCGCTTCGGCGATCCCGTTCCCAGCTGTTCGACGCTCGAGGACTGCGCCTCGCCGGATCCCCTCACCGCCTGGCCGGCGCTGGTGAGGATCTTCTTTCAGTTGGCGGGCGGCACACTCACCGGCATGTGGGTGTGGTCCCGCAAGACCTGCGAGAGCTATCGCAGCCGTCTGGTGGCCGGCGGTACACCCACCTCCTCTCTGATGGCCCAGAGCAAGTCGGGGGCGAACGGCAATGGGGGCCATGCTGGCGCCAATGCCATGGGAGGCGGTGCATCCGCTCTGCCCAAAAAGCATCTCTACACCAGCGGCAAATCGATGCTGGCCAGCGGAGGCATTGGAGGCATTGGAGGCATTGCAGGATTCGTGGGAGGAGGGGGCGGAAGCGGGGGTGGGGCCAGTGCCACCGCTCCGCTCTATGCGGGCATTAGCTTCCACAATGTCCCCGTCTACAATCCCAACCAGTCGCGTGTCTAAAGAGGGATCCGATGGCTCAAAGCCTGATCAATGATCTGGATACATACTCGTATGCATCGCCCATTAAATAAAAACAAATTAATAAATTATCAATTGAAATGTGTTAATCGATTTTAAGTCCCCATTTTGAATAGTTTTTAAGTATCACCTAAGTCCTGTGTAAATAGAGGAATCGTATTTGTATTTGTATTTTATTTTCTGTGTATTTTTATTTTATTTTTTTTGTAATTAATTTGTTTCTAGGACCTTAACTTAATTAAAATTGTGAATAAATTGTAAACTATAATATTTAAATGAGAAAATAAAGTTTGTTTTCATCTGCAATCACGAGATCGAGTACTCAAGTACTGCCCCTAACATACCCTAAGATGTTCTTAAAGATGTTCCCAGCAAAAACCAAAAAATCGTAACCATAGTAAAGGATATTTTTAATGTGATCATCATTCAAATATTGATAATGGATCGGACATCGAAAGAAACGGAAGAGTACGATGCTATATGAAAAATCTGGTCACAATCGGATAATCATCGTTGTTTCCTCGTTGTCGTTCCTCGTTGTCGTTCCTCGTTCCAAGTTGTCAGTCTATCTATCGTCTCCAGACAATAGACAATGCTGCGAAATGCCCTGTAGATCTACTGCCCTGTTCTGTTCTTCGCGGGTAGACCCTCGAGCAATAACTGAAGAGACTTCAGTAGTTACTATGTAAATGGTTTTATGGTTGTTCCCTCCGGAACAGGCACCAGTATTAAGTACTCTTCAGTCTCTTCGTCGCAGAATCAATACATCTATAATGTTAATTCCCACAAGCAAAGCGGGGATCCCTTAGCAAATACGTGCATATTACTTATGATACCATCCTGCCCTTTCGGTGGCAGTGGCAGACTGGTATCCAGTTAAATTCGAAATCCAAGTGCATCGAGGGCCCCCGCGGTGCTTCTTGCAATTCTCACGTGCCTCCAGGTTCCTCCTTTCTCTGTCCCACCATATGGGTTAATTATGCGAGAGCGGCACTCTGGCGAGGCAGCACGAATTCGTTTAATTGCAACAAAAGGAAGCTAAATTGTTGCTATTGTTCGGCCCCTGCAATGGCAGCGGCAATTAGAAGGAAAATGCTTAATGACAGAGGCACCGGCGTTGATTGCCAGCGTTTTGCTAAGAGCCCCACCCTTTCCCTTTCCCTTCTTCCTTGCTCCCTCTCCACTCTCCCCCTCGCCTAATCCACCACCTGTAGGCATCGCCTCCCCTGCCTCTGCCTCTGCCTCTGCCTCTGTGCTACCTGTTGTCCTACCTGTGCGTGTCGTGTCTCTTCTGGGTCGTCGCTGCAACGTTGCAACGCCGCCCTGAGAGAGTGTCACACACATTAAGAGACACGTCGGGACACGCTGGTAGTCGACTACTGGGGCACCCCTTAAAGGATGTGTGTGGGAGGGGGAGGGCATGGGAATGGGCACCGAACAGCAGCCAAAGCAATTCAACAACGGGCTTAATAGCCGAGCCGCAATTAATTTGATTGAAGCTGCCACACCGCGTGCCGGGCAACGTTTCTATCCAACAAATTGCCAGGCGGTCGGTGCAACAACAGAAACATGTGGCAGCAACAGAAACAGCAGCAGCAGCAGCAGCAGCAACAACCACAAGCAGCGGCAGCAACTGTGCAGCAAGCGTGCAATTAACTCTTGTGCGCCAAGATCAAAGCGATTAAAGCCGCCCTGGCAAACAGACAGACAGACAGACAGACAGACAGACGGCCAGACGGACGAAGTCGCCATCCCCCCTTGGCTAAGACCAAAGACCTGTAGACCGACACCGAAGATTGGGACCAAGACGGGCCCCAAGACTGAGAATAAGCCAAGCGAAGCAGCCAGCTCTCTGACGCTTTATCGTCATCCTCATCGGTGTCGTACGAGTAGTACTCTCCGTCTTTGATGTTCTTACGAATCGACCATTGGATACCCAGTGATCGAGGGCGGGAGAGTACTAAAATGTGTACAGAATAATATGAGATATATGTATGTATGTGCATGGATATAACGCGATATGAACGAGTCAGCTAAGTCTCCCAATAGGTATTTGACTTCTATACGTATCCGGGGGTATGCAAAGAATATCTAGCGATGGGCCTAAAACGTGGAAACAGCTAAAACGAGGGGCAGAGGCCGATCCCCAGGCAGCTCTGGCCAAAGCAGTTCCGTGGCTGTGGCTGTGGCTGTGGCCGTGTGGTTGGATTGGCCATTTACGTGCGTAAAATGTGTCCAAGTGCTGTGGGGCCAACGCAATAAATGCAGCACAAAACGAATTGTGGGACAAATGCACTTCAATGAGCCACCAAATGGCTATTAGCCATGGGCCATGGGCCTCGGAACCGGTCTCAAATTTGAATTTGTTTGCCATCCCCCAAGAGTGGTACCGATTTCCACGCTAAATTGTTATTAAGGCACAAATGGAGGAACTATTAGATATGACGGCATAGATTTGGGGAATTAGCATTGAGGATCGGATCTGTTGATTCTGGAGCCCAAGACACATCATCGGATAGGTTGGTGCTTCCTGAAAATAATAATTTGCGCCATTCCGATTGCTTGCTCAATTTTGATATTCCGTTGAATAATGCTGGCTAGCTAAAACTCTCAGCTCCGCCCACTAAGTTTTATCCCATTGCTGAATGCATTTTCTAAGAAACTAATTACTTAATTAATAAAGACATTTTCTTAAAATTATATGTTTTAGACGTACTCATGCATTTGATTGGTTTTCCAGTATATCCTGATCACAATACTCATTCAAATATCGTTGAAATACCTTTAAAGCAGATACTGACTAATTTCTGCAGTAATTAGAGCCTGGGATGACAAAGATTTCCGCAATTCTATAATATCCTTTTCCTTAAGGTATGCAGAATGTTGCCCATGTTGCGGGACATGCTGCTCGTTTTCTCTACACATGAGTCTGGCCCATACAAATTAAATGTTGCCGCAACGCAACCTTTGTGCATGGAGTGGTTGCGTTGTAGATCCGTTGTTTCGGGCGCTCAACGGGGGTCGTCGCTTTTGTTGATATCATATCTACATGACACGATATCTACATACATTCTACTGCATTCTAGAGACGCCACTGAGATTGCGTTGTAGATCTGTTGGTTCGGGCGCTCAACGGGGGACGTCGCTTTTGTTGAAATCATATCTACATGACACGATATCTATATACATTCTACTGCATTCTGAGACCTGTTGTTGAAAAGTACAATTGTACATGATTTATTACATTGCATACTTTTAGGCATTGTAGTCTCTGTAGTATCGTAGCCGTCCGTGAGCAAGCGCGACAATTTCTCTTTGGCGCGCACCACTCGTAACATTCCATACACACTTACGTTTCATTCCGTGCTCTCTTACGTTTTGGTACTTTGATTTCATCTTTTTAAAGCTTATTCTGAAAAAAATTCTATTTAAGGAACCATTTAAAAATAAGCCAATCTTGTAGAAAATTTAATTATGAGTGGGATACAATTCTTTGTTCGGGGCTGAAAGTCCTATCTGGCTAGTAGTATCAATTCGAATAAAAAAATCGACGAATAAAATCTCAGATCATGGACAGAGACCGATTAACCCATTGTCGACCAGTCTAGGCCAGAATGAGAGCCAAAGCCAGAGCCAGAGACAAAGCCAAAAGCCCAAGCCAAGGCGTAGCTAAATCAAGTCTAAGACCGGTTTGGCAGTGGTGCGTGGAAACGGGGAAAGAATGCCGAAAGAGAAAGCATTCTCCAGCGATCAGTTCAGTTGTTTTTGTTGACGTGTGCAGCACACACCACACCAGACCACTCTGGTAGAGAAATGCTGCTCCAGATATAGGGGAAAATTCTAGAAAATATGGCAGCTAGCGTTGTTAAAACTCCCAAATGTCCCAGACGAGGATCGGCCAAAGAGCAGCAGTCCAAGGCCTCACCCAAGTCAAACAATGAGTCGAACAATTGGTAAGTACATATGTATATCCCCGAATCTGGATCTGAATCTGCATCTGAAGCGAAACAAAATCAAAATCAAAATCTCTCTTCCAGGCATTGGTGGATCTTACTGGCATCCGTGTTCCTCATTACCTTTGCCACTCGCTTCTACAAGGTGACCGAACCGGATCACATCTGGTAAGGCAGATATTTCCCCTTCCCATCCCATCCCGGATTCCATGAATGGTCGAATGTCGTCTCTGAATGGGGTCGTCTCTTTTGCAGCTGGGATGAGACACACTTTGGCAAGATGGGGAGCTGGTACATCAATCGAACATTCTTCTTCGATGTCCATCCACCGCTGGGAAAGGTTAGTTCCAAGACTGATAAGCACGAGTATACAATATTTGCATAACTCTGTATCTCTAACATCTGGCAGATGCTTATTGGACTCTCTGGCTACTTGACTGGCTACAATGGAACGTTTCCGTTTGAGAAGCCGGGGGATAAATACAACGAGACCGCCTATCAGGGCATGCGATATGTGAGTGTATATTCGGAAAGAGATAAGCTGTATCTGGATCGAATGTTTTCTGAATTGTTTCGCAGTTCTGTACGACTCTGGGGGCCCTGATCATGCCCATGGGCTTCGATACTGTCTACGATCTGACGCGATCCCACGAAGCGGCCCTGCTCTCGGCAGCCTATCTCATATTTGGTGAGGGATTCGAAAACCCGTTCAGCCTTTGAACCATTTAACTGAAATCCTCCGCTTAGATGTGGGACTCCTGACGCTGAATCAGTACATCCTGCTGGACCCCATTCTGCTGTTCTTTATGATGGGCTCCGTCTGGGGCATGGTGAAGATCTCGAAGGCGACGGCCTCGGGTGGGTCCTACTCGGTCCGCTGGTGGTTCTGGCTCTTCCTCACCGGCACCATGCTCTCGTGCACGATCAGTGTGAAGTTTGTGGGTCTGTTTGTGGTGCTGCTGGTGGGTCTGCACACGGCCACCGAGCTGTGGCTGATCCTGGGCGACCTGGGCCAGCCGATTGTGGAGACGCTCAAGCAGATCGCCTGCCGCGCCATCGCCCTCATCCTCTGGCCGATCCTCCTGTACACGCTCTTCTTCTACATCCATCTCAGTGTGCTCAATCGCAGCGGCAATGGCGACGGCTTCTACAGCTCCGCCTTCCAGTCGCGTCTCATTGGCAACTCGCTGTACAACGCCAGCATGCCCAGGGACGTGGCCTACGGGTCCGTGGTGACTATTAAGAACCACAAGACGGGCGGCGGCTATCTCCACTCGCACTTCCATCTCTACCCCAAGGGATCCGGCGCCCGCCAGCAGCAGATCACCACCTACACGCACAAGGACGACAACAACAAGTGGGTGATCAAGCCGCACAACAAGCAGCGGCTGCCCAAGGACAAGCTCCAGCTGCTGCGGCACGGCGATCTCGTCCGGCTGGAGCATTTGGTGACCAAGCGGAATCTGCACTCGCACAGCGAACCGGCGCCCATGACCAAGAAGCATCTTCAGGTCACGGGCTATGGCGAGGTGAGCTGGTGGGGCCTCAGGGCCCCAAAAGACTGCAGACCAATCGAAACTGTTTTTGGCTCTTTTTTGGCTCATTGCAGTCGGGCGTGGGCGACGCCAACGATGTGTGGCGCGTTCTCATTGTGGGCGGCAAGGTCAACGAGACGGTGCACACGGTCACCTCCCGCCTGATGCTGATCCACTACCTGCAGAACTGCGCCCTCACCTCCAGCGGCAAGCAGCTGCCCAAGTGGGGGTTCGAGCAGCAGGAGGTCTCCTGCAACCTGAACGTTCGCGACAAGTACGCCCACTGGAACGTCGAGGACAACGAGCACAAGTTGTGTGGGTATTATGATCCCGATCGGTATCCTTCGGCATTCCTTTCTTCACTTGCCTCTGCCCGCAGTGCCCAGTGTCAGCTTTAGTGTGTACGCTCCTGGCTTCTTCGCGCGCTTCCTCGAGTCCCATGCCGTCATGCTGCAGGGCAACGCGGGCCTCAAGCCCAAGGAAGGCGAGGTCACCAGCAGACCCTGGCAGTGGCCCATCAACTATCGGGTAAGCCAAGCCAAATCAAATCAAATCGTATAGATTCCGAATTCCACATTCGATTCCGTACTTCCTTCCAGGGTCAGTTCTTCTCTGGCAGCAGCTATCGCATCTATTTGCTGGGCAATCCCGTGATTTGGTGGAGCAATCTGGTATTTCTTGCCCTCTTCGTGGCCGTCTTCCTGGGCAATGCCATCCTGGAGCAGCGACGCGCCGGCCAGGCTCGGGCCCTCGCCCGCTCCCATGCGGACAGCGAGGACAGCGAACACTCCACCACGGATGAGCCCCTGTGCACCTGCTGTCCAGTGGAGCAGCAGCTGTTGAGGCGGCCGTGGGAGGACCACAGCGACCCCCTTCGGGCCGCTGCCTGGCTGTTTGTCGGCTGGCTGCTCCACTATCTGCCGTTCTGGGCGATGGGGCGGGTGCTCTACTTCCATCACTACTTCCCGGCGCTGATCTTCAACTCTCTGCTGACAGGTGGGTCTCTGCCGTTCCCTGTTCGCCCAGACTGACTCCCCTCTGATCCCTCTGCCTCTAGGAGTGATGTTCCACCACATTATACAGTCGCTGCCGCGATGGATACAGCACGTCCTGCTGGGCGGACTGCTCTCGCTGATCGCCTACAGCTTCGCCCTGTTCTCGCCCCTGGCCTACGGGATGAGCGGGCCCCTGGCCAACGAGCCGAACAGCACCATGCACAGCCTCAAGTGGCTGTCCACCTGGGAGTTCTAGGGCTCTGGGCTCTTGTATAGTATAGGGTAGAGAGCAGACATGAGTAGATATATACATATGTATAGTATTTAATGTTTAGATTGCGCTTACGACTACGTACCGATTAAAAGTAACAAAAAACAACATAAAAAAAAACACACATAGTACGAATTGGTGCCAAAAAAAACGTTAAGCCGATGATAGATTGAATATAAATAGACCGATCAGACATCCCCCCACAGGCCCTCACAATCGAAGGTCGGATCAATCGAATATGCCGAGCTCATCGAAGCGACGGAGGGCATAGCGCAGGGTGTCCGTGGTGCGGGGATTGGAGGAGAACATCAGCTGGACCTTCGTCTTGGCAAAGTCCGGATCACTGAGGGCCTCGATGCTGATGTCGTACGAGTCCTCCTTCTTCATTGTGACCATCGGCAGGAAGGCGTACGACGAGAAGAAGCCGTACAGCTCTCGGGCCCTAATCTCCTGCTGGATGTCCGCATAGCTCGGCACAAACTCAAAGTGCATCCGCTCGAGGCTCTCGCGCAGGGCGCCGTAGTAGGTCTGGATGAGGAACTCCCGCCGGTGGATGAGCACATCCAGCTGGACGCTGCTGTTCAGAAAGAAGTTGATGTCGCATCCGGGACTCCCGAAAAAGCTGTTCTGAAAGTCCACCTGCAAGCGGGAAGGATTAGGAGACTGCCAGAGGATATACAAATGAAAGGGTGATGGGTGTCTTACAAAGATTGCATCTATGGGCTTTGTGGGCTGCTCGTCGTCGTATTTGTACATGAAATTGTTCACCCAGAGATCGCCGTGATTCAGCACGGTTATCTCCCCGGGCAGGGACCGACCGGTCGTCACCAGGTTCTCCTTGATGTTGTCGCAGTGGCGGTGCAGCTTGTCCGCCAGCTGCTCATAGCCGGGCCACTCGGCCACCAGATTGGCCAGCGTTCGCAGCTGCAGGGCCATGAAGTTGATGAAACGCTCGTTTGTCCGTATGTAGTTCTCGTCCAGCATGCCGCTGGTGAAGTGCTCCCCCACGCCGGGCTCCTGCAAAAAGGAAACGAAACAAAAAACAGGGATAGGGACACAGAGACACGCAGGAGGGCAGGTGGGCAGGAGGACAGACTCCCCGAAGAGCACTCACCTTCTGGGCCAGGAGCATGGAGCTGGCATGGAACTTGCCCAGCTTCTTGAGGATCACCACGCAGTGCTCCTCGTTGAGGCCGCTCTGGCGGCTGGCCAGCTTGTAGCCGTACTGGGTGAGGTCATCGAAGACGATCGTCTGGATGGGCTCGCGGGTCGTGTAGAGGCACTTGGCCCCAAACTTGGAGCCGTCGCCAATGAGCACCTCCAGCTTGCCGAGCACATCGAAGTAGAAGATCTTCTCGCGCAGGTAGACGGCCAGCTCCTCGAGGAACTGGGTGGCCGGTGTGATGGCAATGCTCTTGACTATCATCGCCAGCTCCTCGTCCAGCTGCCGCTTGCTGCTCCGGTACAGAGCCCTGGCGCGATAGATCTTGCTGCAGTAATTCTCCCCACCGCCGCCACTCGATTCGGCGAATATGATCTTCTTGATATCCACACGCATGTCGCGCAGGCCATCCTCTAGGGCGGCCTTGAAGAATTCCTCGTTTAGGTACTTGGGCGGGTCGCCAGTGCGCCTCTCCTTATCCTTCTCCTTCTCGCTCTCCAGCTTCATGCTGCTGTCGTCCCCAGAACGAGTATTCAAGATCCGGCCGTCAGTCAGTCAGTGAGCAGTCGGCAATCGGCAATCGGCAGTCAGCAGTCAGTGTCCTGTCTATTCTCAGTGGTGTCCTATCTTCAGTATCCCTTCGCTTCGAAATCTCTGGATTGTTTTCGTACTGCTCGTATTGTCTGGCTCGTGTAATGGCTGGTCTAGTGGTTGCGTCTGCGTTTGCGTTGCTTGGGAAACTGTGGCCCGCCCAGGCGACTCCTCTAAATATAAGCCCTTATCAGGTGCAGGCGCTGCCGTCAGCGACGCCAGCGTCGACATCGATTAAATCGCTTCATACACACAGATATATGCTAGACCATATCTCTGGCTATATACTCACCTCTCGGCGTACATATCGGCGGGGACAGTGGCGGGGAGAATGGAATAGAGCACAGCCATAGCCACAGCCACAGCCACAGGTCGCCTGCATAAATTTCCCATAAGCAAACGGACACAGACGCCGATGCCATTAGTCGAGGGCATGATAGTCAGATGTAACATCTGGGAATGTTCAATTTTAGCATGCAAAATATGTTTCTGCGGCCCCGATAACCTCTCCCCCCCTCCCAATCGGAATAGATCTATAGATTCTACAGTAGAATCTTAAATATGCTTTCGACTCGGAACTTCGCATAAGCGAAAGGCTACAAGCAGCTAGATCGAGGAATGTGAACCTTCTACTAGGTGCTTTCGAACCTCTCCCCCCTTCAAAACCCTCTCTGGGGGTGGGTGGTCCGTCCCTGGCATTGGATCTACATGCATTCGACTCGGACATCATCGTGAGTATCATCCATCAACCTAGGCGAGCCAAATACGACGTGTCCAGCATACTCCGAGTACCATATACCACATACCATCCATATACACCCATATACACACATATTTGTACGTGTGAGCATGTGTTGGGTGGACACCTATATATTGTAGGTATGGCTTTATAGATTTTTATAGCTGTCATTAGTCTAAGTAAATGATAAATGCGTCTGAGCGTTCGTTGAGCACTTTGTCCATGCTAGCAGGCTGATGCTGATTAAACAGCTCCACATATATTCGACATAGTCGTTGGTTTCGCTTCTTTTGACAGCACTGTATCTTAGAATTGGTTCGAAATTGTTAATAGGTTTTTGTTGTACATACATATATACTACATGTTGGAAAGGAAAGCAAAGCGGAACTTTGGGCAGAGAGATTCGACGGAGAGTTCTATCGCCGGGCGGGGGAGAGCCCAGAACTCGAGACATTTGAAAAACGACAATGGAATGCTCAACGAGATTATGGCGATTATCATTTGTACGACTGCGGAATCCACAGCACGTGGTTGGATTTCGAGCTTATCGAGAAGCAGCTGCCTACTATAATCGTACTATAATCCCCATCAAACCGATCAAGTCGTAAACCCAATTACAAGGCAAAACAAGTCAACGATAGCTCTGCTCTGCTCTGCTCTGCTATGCGTTGTGGGCCGGGCTAACTCTCCTTATGGCGTGTTCGGAATGCCTCAATCATCCTTCATCCTACATCCTCTGACTCCAGCTTTGGCTCTGGCGCTGACTCTGAGAGAGAGCTGAGAGAGTGCTAGAGTCATGACAGGACAGGAGTACATGACCTTTCGGAAGCGCAGGCTTTATTGCGAATAGCGTGTTTTATTTGGTAGAATTTCTATTGCGGTGTTCCTTGAGCTTTCCCGGCGACGAACAGGTGCATTGGTCCAGTGGTAGGGCCTCTTCCTGGCATCCTGGCGTTTGAGTCCTGCTCGCTTAGCTCTGGCTCGGAGAGTCTTCGTTTTAAGCCAAGTCTGGAGGACTTGACGCATATTTGCGAATGTTTACGGCATTTTTGGTATCCTTGTTGAGGCAACGCCTGGCCCCAGCCATGCTGCTGGTACTCGTATATGGGCTGGCCTGTATGGATTCCTATGTGAATGACGGTTCTGCCTGTCGGACCAATCCACACTTACCGAACGGACGAAGCTCATCTTCTGAGCTGGGGAGAGCTTTCCCCAGGCCCGCGCAGCCTCTACCATGCACTGGCCCGGCGACATCTGCGAGTGCTTCCGCTTGTAGGCTCTTAGGAATTGCCGAAAGCCGATGTTTTTGGTGGCCCTTGTCTCGCCCTTCGGTTTGCTCAGGAAATTGCCCATGATGGAAACGAGATATTTTTGATACTAAGGAATTTAATTGTTTTGAGGCAAGACTCAGTTCAGTTCAGTTTCGAAATGAGGATAAATACCCATAAAATAAAGGAGTGCACTATGTCAAAGCATACTTTCTTCTGTAAATTCTGTCCAACCCATTCGATTCATCAAGAAAGTATGCTAGATAAAGGTTAGAACAGATCAGAGAAGAGAACACTAGACCTCTCTAGAGAGTTCGTTGAAGCTCCAAAGGAATAATATTGAATATCATTCATTCGCTGGCAGCAGATAAGAATTAAAATCGTGATTCGAGGGCGTGACTTGGGCTCTACTCTGCACTGGCCTGGAAAAACAAACAAAATGCAGTGCAATGTCTTCGCAAAAGTCGCATTTGCATATACAGATCCGAGTACGGGTATACGTATACATGTACTAATCGTATCTATATGTTCTCTTCGAATTGCACAACAATAAAATTACGTCATTTGCGAGAGGGAGTTGCGGGTTTTGTTTCGTGCTATATATTGTTTGATATGGGACGATGGGACTGTGGATCGTGGATGCCAATACGTGAGGATTGCGGCTTGAGCACGGCTCTGTTGTAGATAAACAGCTGCTCGGATGACACATCCGAGACGAGTCTAGTGATGCGAAGATACGAAACTATTCTGGGACGACCTTTGAACCGTGTCTGGCTGCCGTCTAATTAGCTTAGTTCCTCCTTTGCCGTCTCCACGCGAGAACTACTTGGACATTGGGTTTGTACTGGTATTCGCTCATATTCGTGTTGACCCGCCTGACACCGGCCATCGGTCTTCGCCATCTCTTCCGATTATACTTCCCCATTAGACATCTATTCTGTCTATAAACTGATCTGAACTGGCTTGTCTAATGTCTACTAGTGTTTAACGCCTAATGCCTGGCACTAAGTAATCTCAAATGACGCATTAAACTACACAAAGTGTGCGATCTTAGAGTGCTGCCTAATCGGCAAACAGATCTGGAATGGCCTTGGCAATGGAAGTGCAACATCTCCGAGACTTGGCCACAGTTACAGTCCGCAGTCCCCAGTTCCCCGTATCTGTATCTTTTCATTCGAATTTGGTTTTGGTTTCTGTTTCCGAGGCGCTGCCAGAGAGACGCAATCCATAATTGCAGTTCACTGAAGGTTATCTCTCACGACTACGAAAAGAAAGCAGAAAGCAGAAAGACTAAGGGACAAACGGAAATTGAAACCGAAACCGAAACCGATCGAGGGTGCGCTATAAAATATATTGTATATATAGTATATATTTAGATTTAGTGGAAGCTATACGAGTGCGAGTAGTGTGGGAAACACGAGCACCATAGAGGTATTCGTACCAGTATTCCTTGATGTTCTGGAAGTATTTATTCTCACTATCTGCTGATACTCCGCATCGGAATAGCCATCTAGCAGACACTATATGATCTACGTCTACAATAACTACTGCCATACATGGGATATCTATATACACATACGAGTATGCCCATATGTATGGGTAGTATATCGCTTGGTCAGACAAATACAAAACCTTCACTTACTTGAGCCTCCGTCGCGGGAGATAGAACACGAACAGAACCGCACTATGCAAGCAATCGACTCCAATCCGATCCTATCTGAAGATCGATACCTCGATACCTAAAACGAGCACTCGTACTGCTCAATGGGTAGATAAACATGCGATTCCTTATACCCTCCTCCAGCACAGGGCACTTACAGATCCGATGGGCGACTCGCTTCGGTATAGAAGTGTTCTTATCTCAAAGTTAAACCAATTTACAAGGAAATTTGCTTACGAAAATGGCTTTGGGTAAGTAGGTTAGTATAAGTATTTAACATACCTGTATATCCCACAATAAATATGTAAATGTTTTACTGTGAATCTTCTTGAGCATTAAAGTGGCCCTATCGGGGAATAAGTACATGCAGGGACATATTTTAGTCGGAGGGATATAAGACTTTTTCCTTTACAAGCATTTTAGCAGCAATGCCAGGTGATTGAGAGATTCGCTTGGGCCGGATCGATTCACGCATAGAATTGTGTCAAAACTCAAGCCAGCAACAAATTATTTACTTAGCTTTTCATTCCGTATCTGTATCTGTTGCTGTCGCTGTCTCTCTTTTTCTGTATGTAGAAGCGAGTCCGGTCCGGCATGCCGCCAGTGCCGACAGATTGCCAGTGTCAATACTTAGATGAGATATGTACTATTATATGTGGAGTGTTGGGAATTTGCTGCTGCGCAAAAAGTGCATTAAACTTGAACCAAATGCTGATTGCCGACTGCCAATTGCCGCCACACCAATCGTTCTGGCTCCCTGGAAGCAGAGCCTTCCACAGCGCTTGTTAGCCAAGTACGCATATAGCAACGGACCATAATCTGCCGCTTGGTAATCAACATACGATACGCCCATCCAAGCCAAGCTTAGGCTAAACCTTAGTCCCAAGGTATCGATCCTGGGAACCTGTGAATTAAAATATTTTAAACAAGTTCCTTTAAGTTCACAGAAATGATCTAGCTATTTCCATCTCTTACTTCCATATATTCTTATACTTACATATCCTTAAGAATTAGTCTGCATTATGCAGTTTAATTTCCTCATCGTATGTATATATACATATATACTGATTCATCCGGGAAAAAATCCTTTCTAGCCGATATATTCGTATCCAACACACCAAAATGATCCGAGGCAATCCTTTTCCTTCAACTGCAACATTGGCAACCCTGCCATCTTCGTGCATTCCGAGCCGAGCCATAAATTTCCACAAGTCATCGGGGACATTCAACTGCGAAAAAAGTTAATTTTAAGCTGCAAATTTAAGATGAATTTCAATTGGCCTGAACAATACATTCGCAAGTCGGTTGGCTACTATGTAAGTCCATCTCATGTCATTCGATCACGTGCTTTTCCGAACATCCCTGCCTCATCTCATCTCATCTCATCCGCCATTCGACCTGCCCATAGATTGCACCCACAAGCAGCCCCGAGGAAAATTCGACTCCCAATGTGCAGGCGGAGGAGGACAAGCCGTACTTTGCCAGCAACATTAAGCACTATCCGCACTTGCAACCGAGCAGCCTCACCTGGGTGCCCGACTACCTAAGCTACGCGGATCTGAAGGAGGCAGTGGACAAGGGCTTCGACCCGAAGCAGTTGCGCCCCACCAACGTACCCTGGTCCAAGTTCAAATCTCAAAGCAACACTCTCTTCGATTGGCCGAAATACACTCGGACTGGAGGCCAGTATGCCCACGGCAATGCCAATGCCCATGGCAATGCCAATGCCCATGGCAATGCCAATGCCCATGGCAATGCCAATGCCAATGCCACGCAGAAGAAGATGCAGGAGAATGTGCGTCCGCCAAATGGCCGATTCTAGGGGCGACCGTCGGTGGCAAAAACTCCTCTAATTAGCCAAAGCCGGTTCAAAATCAATCCTTGGGGCTTGCCATAACCCCCCAGCAGCTCGCTTCGCATGGGATATTGTACCGATATGTATGAAAACTAGATAGAAATAATAAAGAAATACAATAACAATTTAAGCTACAATTTTTTGCATTTTGTTGGTTAGCTTTAGCTGCTGCAGCGATGTTCCTTCTGAAGCAATCGATGTACATATATCGGCAACGTAAGTGTGGGAAAATACGCAGTGGAGTATTTGAAGTGCCTGGCAAAAATGTTCAGCAATGTTTTTTAAAATCTATGATCAATACTTGAATCCTTTTTACCTGCCTAAAGTCCATACTAGAGAATAAATTGACAAGTGGTTGTAGCAAGAACAAGTTGATGGCACGACTCGACGCTTCAGACCGTATTCCAACACTGAACATCGATTACATCGAAATACATCGAAATACATCGAAACATCGCTGTAGCAACTAAAGCTAACCAACAAATTGCAGAATACAATTTGCTTACATTGTTATTGTATTTCTTTATTATTATCTAGTTTTAATACATATAGGTACAATATCCATGAAAAGCGAGCTGCTGGGGGGCTATGGCAAGCCCCAAGGATTGATTTTGAACCGGCTTTGGCGAATTAGAGGAGTTTTTGCCACCGACGGTCGCCCCTAGAATCGGCCATTTGGCGGACGCACATTCTCCTGCATCTTCTTCTGCGTGGCATTGGCATTGGCATGGGCATTGACATTGCCATGGGCATTGGCATTGCCATGGGCATTGGCATTGCCGTGGGCATACTGGCCTCCAGTCCGAGTGTATTTCGGCCAATCGAAGAGAGTGTTGCTTTGAGATTTGAACTTGGACCAGGGTACGTTGGTGGGGCGCAACTGCTTCGGGTCGAAGCCCTTGTCCACTGCCTCCTTCAGATCCGCGTAGCTTAGGTAGTCGGGCACCCAGGTGAGGCTGCTCGGTTGCAAGTGCGGATAGTGCTTAATGTTGCTGGCAAAGTACGGCTTGTCCTCCTCCGCCTGCACATTGGGAGTCGAATTTTCCTCGGGGCTGCTTGTGGGTGCAATCTATGGGCAGGTCGAATGGCGGATGAGATGAGATGAGATGAGGCAGGGATGTTCGGAAAAGCACGTGATCGAATGACATGAGATGGACTTACATAGTAGCCAACCGACTTGCGAATGTATTGTTCAGGCCAATTGAAATTCATCTTAAATTTGCAGCTTAAAATTAACTTTTTTCGCAGTTGAATGTCCCCGATGACTTGTGGAAATTTATGGCTCGGCTCGGAATGCACGAAGATGGCAGGGTTGCCAATGTTGCAGTTGAAGGAAAAGGATTGCCTCGGATCATTTTGGTGTGTTGGATAAAAAAAGGCTAGACAGGACTGTTCTCGAGGGAATAGAAGAAATGCGCTGTTAGATGTAATGACAGGCTTGAGCGGTTGCTGAACAAACAAATAGAGTTTTAAATATTTAAATATAGGGATATCTTTATCTTAATCTCGTTTTTGGTTTTTGGTTCATTTGCAAACGTATTCCGGCTTAACCCATGTCTACTGTATTTTTGTTTTGTTTGCACTTTGTACAAATTTATGAATGTAAATTTATGCGTATGTATGTATGCTATGTATGTACGAACGAATCATTTTCTGCGCTCTGGTGTTTTTTCTATGAGTATGAAGATCGTTTTCAGCTTTTCAATATTTTCCTCGCGCCAAGCTCGAGCGCACGTCGCCGCTTAGTTGATAACCGAACGCCCCCCAGAGCGGAGCTGCCACAAAGCCGTTGAAATAACCGAAAGCAACAACAACAACAACGAATAGTGCGCGGGCGTGAACAGCACTGCTAAACGAGAAGAGGACGTTTAGTCACCCACGCGTCCCAATGCTGGTGAGTGCGCGAAGGACTTGTTTCGCTCTCTCCTTCATCTGATTTCTCTACATGCATTGTCCCACTAACACATGTGTGGAATCGCCAGAGAGCACTCTCCCGCCATTGTGGGAACCTATTTCGTGTCACAAATCAACGCGGAGAGTGGCAAAATGTGGGCCCTCGGAATATGCCGCTCGGAGAGCGGATACACAGCTTGGGGTACGTACACACTTACCTGCGCAAAAACAAACGGTAAACATCTCTGTTGTGGTCTCAATACCCAAATATGACCGAGTGACCCCATTCTGCCTTTTGCTCTGTTGTGTTTTTTTTTGTTTGCATCCCATCTCCGACTCCAGTCGGCACACGATTGTGTCTCTACGTGATGCTGATATACTGAGTGTTCTCAGCCAAATCGTATACAGATTATATCAAATTGAGTATCAAAATCATCGTATTTCAAAGCTTGCCGTATTTTTCTTGTGCTCCAATTTGGAAAAGACGCGAGCGTGACTCAACAAGTGTCTGCTGGCATGCTTTGCTCTGACAAAGGGGTGCGAGGGTGTGGGAAGTCTCGAAGCTGAAACGCAATAGGAAATGGCATTGACACAGTGGTGCTGTGGGGAGTGGGCTGCCCAGATGCCTGCCACCTGATGCTTTTGCGGGCTCCAATGCAAATTGTATCTCAGAAAGAGCCGTCCCAAGTGCTGTACGTGCCTCGCCCTGCCATGCGCTACGCGCGGCCTCTATCTGGTGCTATTTCTGTTTAGAATTTTCAGCACAAAAGAAACCGAAAAGCCACTCGGAGCTCTTATCAAACGTTCCAAAAAGCCAAGTTCCCAATCATTAGTTGAGAAAAAGCTTGCTCGTAGTCGAGTTCTGCGCCCCATCCATTGACCATGCGAAAGCTCACTCGCACAGTGGTGTGGCCCCGGCCCTGCACAGTGGTCCGCAGGCAGGCAAGAATGCAAAAAGGTGTAGTCAAACAAATCTTGTGTCTTGGGCAGGCAAAAACCCATCTAGACAGTGACATGCGTTTGCATGTCGTTGGTGTAATCTTCCATGACCTACGACCCGACGACGGGTCGCTATTAACTACCTGCTAACTACTGGGCCCACCGCTTATCGGTCACAATGTGTTTTTAATCTATTTGTGACTGTCCCTGGGCCCTTCCCTCCTATAAATGTGCGAATATGAAGATTCCCAGACAGTTGACTTTATGAACTGATGCAGCTCGGTTGTTTTCAGTTATTCAATGTGAATATTCTCTAAACAAGTACGCAAAGATTGAAAATACATCACTGAAATTTAAAATAATTCGCCTTTAGTGAAAACAAAAGGGATTTCAAAGTGATTTAATCTATACTACGAACATTAATTAATGGGTAAGTTATTCAGACATATGTATGTACATTAGTATGGATATAGTTTACAATATTTTATGGTAAAAGAAGTAAAGGCATTGTCAAAAATATATTATTGAGTATTAATAAAATCGTTCAAACAGGTATGCAAGTTTATGTGACCTGAAAAGCAAAATTTTTTTAGATTTATATATATTTGTATATACCTACATACATATGTGCATACATATCTATTTACTTAGTCAATTATATTCTAGGGTTCATATAATTTTCATGAGAAATATACATTATCCCACCCAAACGAAATGCAAATATTTTTTGGAAGTGAAATTTTAATATTTTCGATGATTAGAGGAGTCTATCTCTCTATCTAATTTGTATTATATTTAATACACACAAGCAAATGATCGTTTAAAGTAGCAATTTCATTGCATCCAACTTTGAGCATAGTTTTGCTCCACTGTGCTGCACAGATGTGCGCCAGCGATAGCTGAGTGAAAGCTCTGGGCGCTCAATGCCGCTAACAGTCGACGGTTGCAGTGCGTTGTGCGAAACGCTGATAACCGCCGCCGCAACAACAGCCGCTCCATGACCAGAGATGATGACACTCGAATTGGGTTAGGCGCAATATGTGAGGCATGCGTCAGAGCGCTCCGCCCGACTTTTTCTTTGTTCTTTTGCCAGCAAACACCTCCAACAACCTCCAACCCAACGTCGACTGCGACGGCGGCGGCGACGGCGACTGCGATTTCTCTCCTGCGCAGCTGGCTGCGCAGCTCTCCTCGTCGCATTTGAACTCTTTCTTACGCCGCGATATTCTTGGAATTATGCACAAAGACAGTGCAGCGCTTCGCGAGAGAGTGCTCGAGGGAAAGAAATCGCGAGCGAGCGCAAGCCCCAGCGGCGCTGCTGCGACGCGTTCAGAGCCAACTGCAGCAGCGACGTCGCAGCACACGCGGCAGCAAAATAAATCGCCCGTCCATTTGAGCTTCAATCATACACGAGGAGGTCCAACAAATTGGGCGGTGAGCAAGCAAGTGGGAGCGCTAGATTCTGGGCAAATTAACTGTGTTTTTTTTGTGTGTCGTGTCGCGTCGTGGTTGATTCCTTTGAGGTCAAAGTGCTTTACAATACGCGCAGACCGCGGCAGAGAGGCAGGCGAAGGCTGCTGCCCCAAAAATTGTACATTCGAGTGCTGCGTAGATGATCATTTCGTGACGTCAAACGGGAAATACAGACAACAGTGCCGACTCTTTCTCTTTGTGTTTGCAAAGAAGATGTTGCATTAAGCGCGCTTGAAACTATGCAAATAGCAAATAAGTGACACACATAGAACAAAAAGGGCAACATGCTGCTGGAAAGGTCAACCGCAGACCAGGAAAAGATGCTGCCACAACCGCATGCAGCAATCAAACGAAAGCCCGAACAGGAACAGGAGCTGCAACCTAAGCTGCACAAGAGATCCTTCGATCCGCACAGCCCGATCAACTACAGCAATAGAAAACAGGCGAAAATGTATTCTAATCCCAATACGCAGCAGATTTTGGTCCAGATCAGACCCTCCATAAGTGTAGCAACGACACCCCCAACGACGTTTCCCAGCCCAAAACCAACAACGACAACAGCATGTGAGTGATGTGATGTGATTCTTTCGTTCTTTGCTTTGCTCTGCTCTTCTCTGCTTTGGTTTGGCCCCGAACATGTTTTCTTTCTTTACGCGCTTTTATCGCGCGCGCACCGAACAGCTGCTGTGACCAAAGAAGCAATCAGCTGGGCACCGTGGTACACTGAAACTTTGTTTTTGCTGGTGAAGCAATGGCCAGGGCAATTATGATGTGTAGTGTACATCTTTGGTAGGGCAGTGAAGTGATATTTTAGAAAAATATTTGTAATGATTCTGCCCCAACAATTGTTTTAATGCATTTGCATGCCTTCAGAAAGGGAGAAAACCACTCCAGTTCCAGTTCCAGTTCCAGTTCCAGTTCCAGTGACACTTAACCCAAGCTTAACCTGTCAAGGATACACCCCTCGCTCATCTCTCTCTATCTCCCACTCTGTCCTTAAAAAATGATGCGCAGCAGAAAGAGAAACGAAAACAACAAATAAACGCGCCGGCGAACAGACGGAGAAAGAGAGAGAGAGACAGCAGGCAGCAGGCAGGCAACGCACTCACTCACGAGGTTGAAGCACGGCAATGAACTTCAGGCGACGAAAGAAAAGTTTGTTTTCGAGGTTAAAAGTGGCCCCGAACGAAGGCAAGGGTACGGGGCAAGCAAGGGAGACCAAAGAATAACAAAGAGGGGGACAGCGAGGGAGAGAAAGATGTAGCAATGGCATTGGCATTTGTTGTGCTTCCTTTCCTCTCATCACCCTCCCGCACGGTCTCTCTTTCTAAATTGCCAAAATATCAGCAGTTTCTACTTAGCGCGCGCCCCATACAATACCATACAATACCATACATACCCACATTGTATATCGAAAGCTCAAAACAAACGGAATGAAAATTAAATAAACAATAGGTTCAATGCACTTAAGTCGCAGTAGAATTCAATTTGCACGAAACACAGGCATAAACATGAACAAACACACTCGTACAGCCCACACGCACACAGTTGCATCCGAAGAAAGCTTCGGATAGCGTAAGCTTTTCGCTCATTTGGCCTTCAGAACCAGCCTCAACTTGCACTCGGAAATGTAAATCGCACTTAACCCATACAGTTGAACATTTAGATGTATCCATTATCCATTGCAACCCTATCAGGCAGGAGCGCAGTGTGAAAGGGGGGGATCCCGGTCTAGCCTAAAAGAGGTCGATATGCCGACCAAATGATGGTCCAAGATGGTTAGAAAGTGATCATGTTAAACATAATTGAAATAAACAAATAATCTATGTTATGTTCATTTTAATAAAAAAGCAAAGGTAATCCTCCAGGACAGCATTTTTGGTAGCAACTCTCGAGATTGTCAAACGATTTTACTGTCAAATTTAGTTCTTCTTTTCAATCGTATGACCAAGCCATCTGAATAATCAAATGAAGTCGTTTAAATTGAAGAATAATGGTCCCAAACGCTCTACCGGGATACCGCACGTTGAGTGTGCATCGAAGGAATCAAAGCTAACTCGGAATCCAACCGAACAGCACAAAAGTGAGTGTGAATTTACTTGCAGCATGTTTGAAACATCTCAGTTTGTGTTGTGTTACCTAGAGTGCAACAATACACATGGGAAAACTGTTGCTTATGGTAGCAAATAGGGCTGTGCGCTTCTCCGACTGTTCTCTGCATCTCTGAGCTTTTGGGGCCGGCGACTGCCACAATCTGTGCGATTCTGCAACGATTTGCACCCAAAACTACGAGATCTGGTCTTGTGTTGCTCCAAATGTGGCCAAAAGAGAATTCCTCATGTATTGTATACACTTATCGAGTATACGCCGTGTGTGTCTGCATTATGCAGAGCTAAAAATATATTTTACTTATCAATTAATAATGAAACAAATGCATTCCGCCGTATATCGCAAAAGGCAATTAAGTATAAATCCAATAAAGCCACTTCCGCACAGATGCGAAACCACCAAAAACAACATGTCAGTGTGACTCGTTTTCCGTATTAATCAGACAGATCCCGCTATCAGATGCAGGCTGCAGTCCATCGTTGCTTCATTTTCGGTTCGTTTCTTTTTGGGGGGTTCCATTTTTTGGATGTCAGGTGGCGGCTGGATGTCTCCTCCCGGCTCCTCCCAAACGTGTTTGCAAATGTAAGCTACATACATATACATATGTACATATGTTTGTTTGTGCGTTTACTTAATACTTCCTGTGGCAGTGGCAGTGGCAGTGGCAGTGGCAGATGAACAAAGACAGAGCGACGGAGACGCAGGCAGGAAACGCTCGAAAAATAATAAAAATGAAAACACATTTTTGTTGTCTCTTAATTGTTATTGTTTTTGTTCTTATTGCCTTGTGGCTGCTGGCTGTACCCTGTCTTTGCGAACTAAAAAGGGTATATGAAATTCGAGCATTGTCTTACGCTCTATTTTGATTCTCCCTCGGAAGTATCGGAGATTCAACCTCCCCTCCAGGGGATGTCCATGCCCATTCCATCGTGGCATTCCCTTGGACTAGGGTATACCCCTAGTCGGCACTTGCAACTGCGTTTGACTGCACTTATTTTTGTTTATTACCGCCTGACCATGAGAGGAGATTGCCATGCAATGCAAATTGAATGACGACAGCCACCAGCAGCAGCAGGCACAGGCGATAATAATTTACAATTTATTAATTATTTAGCGCCTTGCCCTGGCATCCCCCGGGGCGGGGGACACCCCAAACAAAGCCCCTGGGAAGAGTCGCCTACCCCAACAATTTGCGTGGCGGCAAAGACAAGGTCAGAGCCAGGGTAGGCTCGGATAGGGGTTCACTCACCCAAGTGCCACCAGCCACCAGCCGCCAGCCGCCACCCGCCATCCGCCACATGCACCTGATTCTACATCATAGACACGCGCGCGACGGCCGGATGCAGAGGGAGCGAGTGCAGGCGAGGGAGGCACACTCTGCTGCAATTCCCCCCAATTCCCACCAAAAACAAAAACAAAAAAAAGTTCAAGCACCTGCTCTCTCGCTCGTGCTCTTTCACTTTCCCTCTCACTCCCCCATCTCTCGCTTCGCTGGCCGATTAAAGCGTCCTGCGCACACGCTTTTCGCAATAAAACCCAAATGGTTCGGTTCGTTACTCCGATAAGAGCTTTTGTGCTCGCGAAAAGTCCAAAGTTTCGTAGAGAAAGAGCTGAAAGAGCAACAGGAAGGGAAATTGTGAGCTTGCTATCGACAAATCGTTTGAGTAATCGTAATCGAAGATCGCAAAAGGAATCGATTGAGCCCCATCTTGCACCATCTTGAAGTGGCTTTCGGCTTACACTATTTTCGATTTAGTAAAAATCCTTATTTTCCCCAGCAATTTTCTTGAATTTTTTCTACAATTTGTATTAATTTTGATTACCTCTTTTTCTTTATTTTTAGGTGAGTAAAATATACTGCCTGTCCATACCCTGAGTAAGTGACACGCCCCCCATTTCATTTAAACCTATCGACATAAAAATGAACACTTTTCGAACCACAAAAAAAAAGACACAAAATCTAAAATATGTGCAATAATTTACAAAGAAGTGAGAAAAAAAAGAAGAGAAAAAGAGAAGAAACCAAACAAGAAAACACTTAAAAAATTCATTTCGAAACTGCGCATTTGTTCGAGAGAACCCAAAGACGGGAATTTAGATATATACGTATAATATTTATATAGAACTTGTTGCGTTTCGTAAACAATTAGCAAGAAATGCAATATATAATGCAATACTATATACATTTCGAATCGCGCATAAATTCAATCGGATATCAGGGCGGACTACGGCCAAAATGTGGGTGCATAACCACCCAAAAGAAGCCAAATGCCAGAGGCGGAGTGGCATAGAGGGGGTGGGGCAAGGCAGCGAGAGAGACAGAGGGAGAGAGTGTGTCCATAAGGCGTGGAGGGATCAGGTTCAATGGCCAAAACACACAACAACAGAAGGCAACAGACAACAGCCAAAAAGTCACCCAGCCAGATGGGTTGTTGGCCAAATTGAATTGAATTGGAAACAAGTTCAATGCTGGGGGGAGGGACGTATGGACGGCTGGATGGATGGATGGCTGGATGGCTGGATGGAGGAGGAGCAGCAGCTTTGGGGCATGGTTTATGAGGGAGGTTAGGCTCCATCGGCGCCTTGGGGGTTGCAGCAACGAGTCAACCAAGTCATTAACATTCTCTGGACAACAAATAAATCGTTGAACCTGAAAGGCACAGACACAGGCACAGGCACAGCCAGAGACAACAGATAGAAAGTAGAAGGAGATACACAGATACAGGCAGTTCTTGACTCATGCAGCGGCAACGGCAACGGCAACGGCAACGACAACGACAACGGCTGGCTGTCATTTCCCTTTCTTTTGTCGCTTCCTGTATTGCTTTCCTGATGAGTTACTTGAGTGATATCGCTTATTAGGACTATTGGGCAAGGACACGTGTCGTGCCTTGTTTTCGGTCTTGGAATGAGGACATTCATGTGTACAACGGGGGTTCATTGCGCGATAGGGGGCTTTTTGAGGTCACTTCATCTATGTACATATATAGATAAACCAGAAATGCATTGATAAGCCATATCTAAATGGGGGACGCAATCGTAATCGTAATTATTATAATGAGCATCAGCATATAGACTCTTGAAATATAAGGAAGCCTCTGCTTGGAGCTGTATCCAGTGTATGTCCATTTCCAGAGCTCTTACTACTGTTTATTGCCATTATTAAGGACTAATATATCATGTATAACAAATGCAGCAATATTTTCAGAAATTGACAAAGTAAGAGATCCTTTCCTGTTATGGTTATACATACCTCAAATATAAATGCTAGAATACGTGCACCCAAGCCGAAGCTTGTTCCGCTTGGATTCCATGCAGAAACGCAACCGAGAGACGCGGCTGCATGACGCGCCGCACGTATAACCATACCGCATGCATGAAAATATTTGGTTAAACAACCAAAGACCTAAATATACAAATATTTATGCGAATTACAAGCTTAATGTTGGTCCTTT